TGGGTCATTTAGTGGTATATCCCGGCAACTACCTTCTCCAGCATGATATCTTCCAACTTTCATTCACTTCACGAAAACAAATTAGATGTGGAATTTGTTCTTACTTGCATAAACATTAAACAGCCTAGTAGTTAAAACAATTCGACTTCCATTGAAGTCGTATGGATAGAATCTTCTCAAATCATCCCAGGCTTGAGCATCCCACATATCATCCAAGATAATGACCTACTTCTTACCCTTCCGACATTTGTAAAGCTGCTCGCCTAATTGTTCAGCCGTGCAATTTGAACTATTTGGCCAGGTAGTAAAAAGTAAGAAATTGAACAATATATCTCCTACTCAATAATTTGAGATACAGTAAGCCAACAAAGGAATATAGAAACGGTGCTCAACTAATGGATCTTTAAAAATCCTTGGCATATACATAAGAGAAGTTTTGCCAATCCTAACTCTTGAAATAACCTTTAATGACAATGGCAATAGACGATGACGATCCAATGAGTGGATCTAGAATTTCCATCACGTCATTATCAACAACAATCAAATTATCTTTAGAAGATGAAGCTCATCGTTAAGACCTTTCCTGAATCAAAGAATTTCATTCTTTTGGTCTTTTATCAAATAACTATCGATGAATGTATTTTTGTGATATTACTAATACTTAAAATTGCATAAATTTTATAATTGACTTTTTATCCAATATTTTGTAGGCTCCACAACTTATAAATATAAATTTTTTTACCAATTAGAAATAGTGTTTAAATAAATGACTTTAATAAGAATATTATGGGAATGTTATGTTGATGAATATAGTAATTTTTTTTTTAAAAAGTTAAATTTTAATAGGTTAGATTTAGACTATTGTTGGGAGCAAAAGAAGTCCTACATCGGCTAGACATAGGAAATATGATGAGTTTATAAGTGTAAGACAATACTCCATTGGTATGAGGCATTTTGGGTAGTATCCAAAAGCAAATTCGTGAGGGCCCAGGCCCAAAGCGAATAATATCATATCAATGTGGAGTTTGGTGAGTCATAACATCTGGTATCTGAGCCCAGGGCCCACAATTTAGCCGGAGGAACGTAGCAGAAATAGTGGTGGAGGTCCCCCCCTAATTAGCCTTGTGCTTGGCTATAAATTATCCTCGTTTGAGGTGTCTTGTGTCGAAAGTCTTCCTGACATAAAAATATGGTGGTCAGGTGGTGGGTCCCGTTTGGTCGAGGGCGAGACAACAACAATGGTACAAGATGATTGACTGATGGATTATTGTTTGAGGGGAGGCCACAATGATGTGGTCCTTCGTTTG